TTCATACGATCTGTCAACTTCAAACCTCGATAGCTCAACAACCGTTTGGAATTCAAGAAAAGTGAATAGAATCATTTGTGCTTAAAATTAATTATAGAATTCATATACAAAGTTTCTCGGATACCTCAGCGGACATCCTGTATTGACATAGCGTTGCATCGTTGCGTATCATTTTATGATACGCAATGGTGATACTATACTTTGATACGCAACAAATGTATACCCACCTTTAGATATAAGGATGTAATGATAAAGTTCCCTTATTTTCGAAATAGGAAACTTCGACGCAAATTTCTGACCACCTGCATAATTTTTTAAAAAACTTTTCAAGGGTTATGTAAGCTATGGGTGTTCTCTGTACAAACCCTGAGAATATGTGGCCGGACGCGACTGTAATTTCGAAAAATTATTTTTATTGTGAAGGGTTCCATCTGCCAAAATTTTCGGAAAAACTGAAATAATTCAAAAATGGTTCACTGTAAACATAAGCTTTGTTCGTTGGGACTGCACTACTTGCACTCACTTGCACTATGCAGTTTAGTGCAGATGTTGTGTGTTCGTTGGGAATAGTGCAGTTTAGTGCAGTTGTATTCATACTGTTCGTTGGGCCAGGTGCAGTGCAATTTAGTGCAGCCGGTGCAAGTTAGTGCAGATTTTGTTGCACCTGCTTTCGATTAAGTTCAATAAGTGCAGTGTAACTAAAATGGCGGAATATTTGAAAGCGCGTTTTGTAATAATTAGCTTTGTTCGTTGGGACTGCACTACTCTGCACGACATGGCACTCGTATGACGTCATAGTGCAATGAAGTGTAAGTCAGTGCAATGTCATGTCAACTTAGTGCAGGTCAGAAAAGTGTATAAACCGTGGTCCCAACGAACAGATTTTTATAAAAAAAGTGTATAATATTTTAAATGGACGAACAGGAGATTGTCAGCGAAATACTCGTGGAAAATGAAATTATCGCAGAATGTTTTTTTAGTATTCATCAATTATCATTATTATTTTTTATTTTTTTCAATTATTAGCGAAATATATTTTCTATACCAAACTACTAACCCTTATTAGTTCTTTCAAAAGTACTACTTAACGTATAAAGAAATCACATGCTAAATTGCACCAAAATTGATAAGCAGTACTTGCAAAAAAAAATTTGGGGTGGTGAGGGTAGTTAACCCCAGCCACCCCTAAATGAGAAGAAACACATAATATTTTTAAACGTAGTGTATTTAATGCCGCCAAAATCGACAGGGTAGTTTTTAAATTATTCCAAAAAAGTAGGGGTAGTTTTCTACTGCCTCCACTGGGATTGAATATACTGTGTTCTCTAATACAACAAATATTAATTATTATAAGGTTTTATTTCTTAATATTTAATATTAATATTAATTATTACAAAACACGTTTTCAAATATTCCGCCATTTTAGTTACACTGCACTTATTGAATTTAGCTTTGTTCGTTGGGACTGCACTACTTGCACTCACTTGCACTATGCAGTTTAGTGCAGATGTTGTGTGTTCGTTGGGGATAGTGCAGTTTAGTGCAGTTGCACTCATACTGTTCGTTGGGCCAGGTGCAGTGCAATTTAGTGCAGCCGGTGCAAGTTAGTGCAGATTTTGTTGCACCTGCTTTCGATTAAGTTCAATAAGTGCAGTGTAACTAAAATGGCGGAATATTTGAAAACGTGTTTTGTAATAATTAATATTAATATTAAATATTAAGAAATAAAACCTTATAATAATTAATATTTGTTGTATTAGAGAACACAGTATATTCAATCCCAGTAGAGGCAGTAGAAAACTACCCCTACTTTTTTGGAATAATTTAAAAACTAACCTGTCGATTTTGGCGGCATTAAATACACTTTAAAAATATTGTGTTTTTTCTCATTTAGGGGTGGCTGGGGTTAACTACCCTCACCACCCCAAATTTTTTTTTGCAAGTACTGCTTATCAATTTTGGTGCAATTTAGCATGTGATTTCTTTATACGTTAAGTAGTACTTTTGAAAAAACTAATAAGGGTTAGTAGTTTGGTATAGAAAATATATTTCGCTAATAATTGAAAAAAATAAAAAATAATAATAATAATTAATGAATACTAAAAAAACGCTACTAAAAAACATTCTGCGATAATTTCATTTTCCACGAGTATTTCGCTGACAATCTCCTGTTCGTCCATTTCAAATATTATACACTTTTTTTATATAAATCTGTTCGTTGGGACCACGGTTTATACACTTTTCTGACCTGCAAACAAACAAAAAGCTATGATATGATGACTTATATCAAATTAATGATATGATGACTTATATCAAATTAAACTAAAATTTGGCGGGGATCTCGAAAATTCAATAAAAATTGGTACATTCCATTTAACCCAGATATGCCCACCGTACTACATATAGTACACGCAAATACATGTCTCAACGTGTCCGAACATAAGTCGAAGTGGCATTTCGGGTGCACACAGGCATTCAGTAAGAAGTAGTGGTTGCGTAAAGGTGCGTAGGTGTGCAATTAAGTGTTAATTACTCTCATTGTTATTTTTTAAAGTTTGTGACATATCATTAATGGCGGAATACGGTGTACGATTTCTTAGGTCAGTAGTTTTTCATATATTGTATTATCTATTTTTCTATTATTCATTATGGATAATAAGGCAAAAGTACCAACTTTTAGATATATTATCTCCAAATTAGTTTTAAAATTTATTAGAGTATTGTTTCAACCCGATTTTTTTATGTGTACTATATGTAGGACGGTGGGCATTCAGATACCTCTTATTTTTTCTATTATTCTAGAGATTCTTCGTTAAACGAGGCTTTGGCAATGTTAGAAGATGACGACCAACTGGCAGAAAACGTCATTCTTTGACCATTTTTCCACCAGAGGATGCTTGCGGAGATCAAACCGATGAAGATTCTGGAGAGGAGGATGCCACAAACCTAAATAATTTACCTGGACCACAACTTCAAGCTCCAGCTGAAATAAATTTCCGAAATATTGACTGCTAGAATCAAAATTAAAAGAATGATGACGAGTTTTCTTCAGACGACGAAATTCCTCTTTCAGCCTTTTGGGAGATATCGACTTGGAGCCTAATAATATAATTTTTAATGGCCAAGTAGATGAAAATAATAACGATATAAGTCCTTTGGAGCTATTTTCTTTTCTTTGATGATGAAATACTGGATCTAATAGTAATCGAAAGTAATCGTTATGCAAATCAGAAGAATCACCACCTTAGAATAGAGAAAACAGAAATAAAAGCATTCATAGGTGTACTATTACTCAGTGGATACATGCAAGTACCAAGAAGAAGAATGTACTGGCAGTATAAAAGAGACAGTCAAAATGTGTTGGTGTCTGAAGCAATAAGTCGAAATAATTTTGAATATATTATGTCCCATTTTCATCTTGATGATAGATTCTATAGATTCTAATTATCAAGCTTATCTCGTGAATACCGAAAATTGTATATCGACCGACCCCAAAAGTTTCTGGCGTTACGTGAATCAGAAACATGGTAATTCGTGTATTCCAGGTTGTATGACCTTGGCTGGCTCTGAAATCTCTGATCCCCTGGAAATAGTACAAGCTTTCTCTGTCTTGTTTGCTGAAGCCTTCAATCCTGGACTTACAACTATCGATAACCGTAACCAGCAAGTCAACTGGTCTGGACCCTTCTACATTATTCCATTTTCTATCGAGGAGGTAGAAATCTGTATGAAACGATTAAAGAATGACTTTACCGCTGGCGACGACGGTCTCCCACGTTTTATTATTAAAGATTGTGCACCCTTCCTCAGCAGACCTTTAACCTTTATATTTAATTTATGCTTAAAAACTAAAACTTTTCCTGCAGTATGGAAAAAAACTCGGATAACGCCGGTTTTTAAGAAGGGAGACAGATTTAGTATTGAAAATTACCGACCTATTAGCATTTTGAACAATTGCTCGAAAGTCTTCGAAATGTTGCTATACTCCAGAATGAGTTACTGTGTTCGCCCATATATATCTGATCATCAGCACGGATTTATGACTGGTCGTTCAACTATGACTAATTTAGCAGAGGTAACGCAGTTCATCAGCGAGCACATGGATAAACGGGAATAAGTTGATATAATTTACACTGATTTTACAAAGGCATTTGATAGATTACATCATGGAATACTTCTTTCTAAACTCTGCAGCCTTGGATTTACCAATGATTTCGTGGATTTAATTTCATCTTACCTCTCCAATAGACTTTGGTATGTGAGCTACAACGGTTTTAAATCTGATACGTTCACTGCTGGCTCTGTTGTTCCACAGGGTTCCAACCTGGGTCCCCTTCTATTCAATGTTTATCGGAATGATCTATTACGACGACTTGATTGTAATATGTTTGCTTACGCCGATGACCTAAAGATATTCACTCATGTAACATCCCTTGAAGACTGTGTTATCTTACAGCGCAATCTGAACATTATCAGTTCCTGGTCAATACAAAATGGAATTGATCTTAACATAGTAAAATGCGTTGTCGTATCTTACACAAGGTGTAATAACCCATTAAGGTTTAATTATGGTGTGGGACAGATGTGGTCAAAATTTGAGTCTTTATCGTATATATGTCAGAGGGAAAAATGATATTTTCCTCTTATAGCACAGTGTATTGACATGTCAGTCCACAACGCCTGGCAACTACATAGGAGAAGTGGTGGAACACTAGATCAGCTAAAATTTAGAGGAAGAATTGCCACCACACTGCTACGTAACGCAGGTATAGATATTCGTTTTGATCACAGGGACCACTACGTCATACCTCAAGATAAGCAGACTAGATGCGTCCATTGTCATCAGAAGACCACCACTAGCTGTTTGAAGTGTGAAAAGGGTCTACACGTGAAGTGTTTTCTTTTATATCATACACAAACTAACAATTAGATTTGTTACTCCTTAAATGCCCACCGTACTATATATCGTCAGTATACAAGAGAAAGTGACTAAGTCCACAGATAGTGGTTTTGGGTTATTAGTATTCTAATTTTTGCTTCTTATTATAAAATCAATTATTTTACGTGAGATTAGTTTATAATGATTTTTATAAATAATATAGTTTTTAGAATATGTATTTTAAATTAAAAAAGTCTATAATTAATTTAAGCAAATACTAAACCAGTAACTCATTTCAACTGCATAGGTTTGTAATGGTTTCTATGAACAATGCAGATTCTAGAATATGTATTTAAACTTAAAAAAGACTATAATTAAACAAGTAGTAGTAACTAGTTTCAACTTCATATGTCTTCATCACTATATTCATTGTGTGAGGGTTCTGGACACTTGTCTTTCAAGGAATTGTCACTCGGTATGTCAAAGTACCAACCATGGTATTCGATCGGAATTACCCCCTTACGGCAAAGTTGAATTAAATCGTTTTTCTTCTTGATCGATATAGGCAAGGGTTCAGTATAACATTTCTTTAACTCAGTTTCTTTTGGAATATTATTACTGGGCCTACCTTTTGCTTTGCCTTTAATGTTAAACATTTTATACTCTTCATCATAGTTGTATCGGAACATTATAAACTTTTTTTTCTCTTTTTCGTACCTTAATTGTTTGATCTTTAACCATTCTATTTTTTCTCCCCCTTCATCCCGAATTGTATTTTGTAGTATAGATGTATTGAGTGCTTTCAAGTCAATAATGTCACGGTAAGTCATTTGCTCTACAATGTAGGCACCAGAAGTTTTATTTTTGCCTCTCTTGGATCTTGCTAGTGTCATAATTGTCTTCCAATCATTAAGACAAAATACAGGAATGTATTTTTTTGCACTTTCAATTGCACTATGCATCGAATCGGCCTCCATGTGCGAGTGACCTTTTTCTAAAAAGTTGTGAGTAATAATCTCTATAGGTAACTGGTTGACTACAAACAACAAAAGAGCCGCAATGTATTTATTTCGGTTTTGGCCGCCACATGTGTCGCTAAAGAGTGACACTTCTTTGACAGTATCAGGTAAAGTTTTAAACCACTTCAATAAAGCTGTACCTATTTCACAACTTCCTCGTTGGCCATCAACTTCGGACCAAAGGTAACAATATCCCTTATTTGGTGGAGCTGCTTCATAAATTGCTAAATTGTATGCACATAGCTTTCGACTGTAGTAAAGAGGTGATACATCGGAGCATGGAATTTGCAGGACACTCTGTAAGTCAAAACTTACTGATACAAAAGTTTTGTCATGAATTGCTCTTTGTTTATCTAAATCTTTTGCTCTATTAGCATCATCCCTTCGCTTTATGTGAGAAAGAAATTCTTCTGATTTTTCAATAGATTTAGCTTCTTTAACACACAGCAAACATTGATCTTTCTTTGGTTTGAAGAAAGATAAGTTATACTGCGTACAAAACACCCTCCTATATGTTATTGGAGAAACAAAATCCTTTTGATTGCTGATCTGTAAATCTTTGTACAATTCATACATTTTAAGAATGGATAAGGTAGAGTCAAGATACTTCCGTGTAGTTCCACGTCTACAATAGTGTGATTCCATCACAGGAAATGATTCTATATGTCTCTTCACCTCATTCAAAATGACAGGTTTAGTCTTATTTCCTGGGAAACTTTTTCCTCGTCGATCTTGAATTGAATGATTTATTCCATTTGTGTCTATGTTCATTATAGCAGAATCAACCGGTCCATGACTTATCGACAAGGTTTTTAAGTAAAAATTTTTACAAACTCTTTTCTTTTCTCCGTTTTTAACAAATGTATAAATTTTAGAGACATTTTTTGCAGGTCTACTAGAGTCCCTCGTTCGTTTTCTTCGGCATTCAGAAGTTGCAACGGTATTAATTATAAAGTCCTTTTGTCTGTCATAGGATAGACTGTGATACTGTTTACAGATATCTTGTCGACGATCTGCAGGAAATACTTCTGTACATTTGTAGCGGCAATTGTCACAATTTACATTTCTAGGGGACTTTGCAGGCATTTGTTTGCCTTTAGTATTAATATACGCTAAACACGATTTTTTTAATAACTTGTTTTTCTCACGTTTTGTTCCTTGAGGATTTTTTATTACCCATCTGCGTTTTTCTATAACTTGCGTAGGATTTACTAGTGGTTCATTTATTATTAAAGTCGTAGGGCTTGTATTACTAGAATTAGTAGCAAATTCTACCGGAACATCCCTAAGATCATTAATAATTTCTTGTGCGTTGTTATAATAATTTTTCGAACAACTCATTTTGCCACTAAAATAAGGTATTATTGCATTAGCTTATTATTTTTTAAAACTAAATATCCGAAAAACAAAATTATTGTAATACGTGTAGATAGTTACCAAAGATTAAGTCTAATAACATAGAACACAATTTTATTTTGATTTAAGTAATAATTGTTATGATAAACTGTTTAAACTTCAAACGTCACTCTCTTTTCCCTGTCTGTCACATCATATTTCTGTATCTTTTCTCTCGTTTTTTTTTCGTTAAGCATAATGCATGGCTATCTTAATTTAAGTCAAATCCTAGAGATAAAAATATTGACAAGAAAACATGACTATAAGTCCACTTAGTCATTTTCTCCTGTACAGGTTTTTACAAAATGGACTTGGTCATTATGGAATTTGAAATTATAAGCATTATTATGGCATTTTTGGACTTGTTCATTTTTTCCAGAAAAATAATATTGAATTTCCGGTACTGAGCATTGAAACCTAAAAATCTAAAATTTTGGACTTGCTCACATTCTCTTGTATACCGACGATTTAAGTAATTTTTAAGTTGCTTTACAAAATTTGTTTATGTATAGCGTAAACACTAACCTCTCAGAACATCTACTCATAAACAATCACCAAATTTGTATGGGCATATCTGGGTTAAAATAACGAAGTTAGGGTCTATTTCCGGTATAATCGGAAGTTGGAGAAAACTGATAATATTTTAGCGGAAACGAGCCTGTACAGAAACCTGTACATGTATTATTGCACATCATCAATATATCACTATTTAATAAGTGATAGATAGTTAATTATTTTACTTTTAGTAATACCAACGAACATAGACTTAAAAATGTAATGAATTATTTGTAATAATTGTTTAAATGTATATATTTTTATTTATTTCTAGTCCTGCTTTATTAAAAAGTGAATAGATGGCAGTACCACATCGTTTGTCAAGTTGACAAATATATAACCTCAAAATTTTTCATCTTACCGCTAAAGATACAAATTTTTAAAACTTAATAATAATGCCACGCAAAAAAATTGGAGCAAGCGTAGTATTATTCGACGCAAATTCATCCTCATCATTCAAAGAACGTGCCATCGACTGCTATAGAAAGATATGCGAAAGAATGCACTTTACAGATGATGAGAACATAACAAAACTTTTCTTAACTAACGTTGAAGGTGAATTGTTACATTAAATTTGTTTATTTTTCATTATCTTATATTTACTTTTGAAGGTAAAAAACATGCAACCAATTACGTTCCATACAACGCCTGTAACAGGATACACCTGCAATCAGCAAAAGGAGTTTTGGGTGATTGGTTATCCGACTTAGAAGATGTCGTTGATAACTTGCACTATGTATTTGAAAAGAAAGAAAACACACGATTCCAAGTACTCGTTCTTAGCGATCTAACTACTCCATCAAAATTGCCAAAAGAAGAAATCAATGAAAAAATTGAAAAGATTGTGGAGACTTTAAAAGAGTATGAGGGATACATTTATTTTCTTGGAGTTAATCTACAACCTGAAAAGTTATTAAATAACACAGTTGATGTTTACAAATGGGTCCAACTTATATTAAAAGACACAGTAGATCTTTATAACACTCAAGGTGAAAATACAGATCATGAAAATATTAATTATTCTATAGCAGCGCGAATTACAAAAGATGCTATGGGAATTATGTGTGATTTTGATATTGGAACTGATTTATTTTTATCATATGTGGAAGGTGAAAAAGCAATGACTTCTTTCATTGTACCATTAACTTTTAATGATGAATTGGAGCTTCCTACCAGAGTTACAAAGTTCATGGATCCCACTTCCTCTGATACTCCAAGAATAGATAACTTACGTATAAACGAGAAATTTGTTCTTCTAGAAGAGCAAGACGTAGAAGTACCAAGAGAAGATACACAACCAGCAATGATAATCCATGAAAAATTAATCACCTTCCCTAAAGATGTATCCAAAGGCCTCCAAGATTACGAGAGATTTTTTAAACTTTTAGGTTTTACCGATTCAAAAAATGTTCCATCTCATTACATGATCAACGAATCAGCAGATATCTTAACAAGCAACGACGCTGATATCGAAATTGGAGTTATTAATCATCTTGTAGAAGCATGTATAAAACATGATAAGTATGGCATAGCTGTTAGAGCTTATATGAAAAACACAATGCCAAAATTGTATTGTTTAATTCCAAAACAAAATCCCCCTCATTTTTTAATGGTTGAAATACCGTATGCAGAAGATTTTGTCCTCCCTTACAATGAAGATGATGTTAAAAAATTTAAAGTTGAAAGTCATTCAACTAAAGAAGTTTTTGGGTATTTGGATAGTATTAATTTGGATGATAAAATCAAAATTCATCCCAACTTGAGGTTAAGTGATACTAAAAAACGTTTGGCTGAAATGAATCAAGATTTACGAGAGGGGAATCCAATCAAACAAACTCCTTTAGTACCTTTTGATATTGAATTTAAAAGTGAACAAGATTTACTTTCTACTTTAGAAAAAAAATATGATGTTAAGGAGGAAGAACTTGAAGATTTATGGTAGTTAAAATTATTATTATGCTTTATTAATGTTAAATATAATAGCATATGATAATTTGACATATTAACTTAATGCCTATGTGATACTCCCTTTGATCCCCTAAAATTCAATTGAAAAGTCACTGTCAATTATTATGTGACATTTATTTTTGTTTGAAAATTCTTTTAAACTGATAAAATCTATCCAATTTTAATTATGGGTGATAAAAAGTAAGTAAAGAATTATTTTTCTAATAAGACTATAAAAACCATAATTTTTAGGGAAAAAACAGAAATTCCCAGTATTGATAATGATTATGACCCTTATTCTGAAAGAAATGTTGACAGTCCAACAAAGTAATAATTATTATTTTAATTAATCGCTTTTGTATTCTTTAGGCTTGCTTTCCATATGTTAAAACGCTTCAAATTTCACCAATTGCGACAAATTTACGTCCTTAGTATTCACTAGCTGTTGTTATTAACAAAGTTATAAACGTATTTTTATACAAAATTTTAAACCTAACCATCAATTTTGTACCATATTGGTATCAGTAAAAAACATAGGGTCCATTGTTATAATCAAATTAATTGTTTTATAATTGTTGTGCTTGATAAGGCACTGTACAGGGTGGGCAAATTTGGGTATTATTATAGGCTATCTCAGAAACTATAAGAGATACGAAAAAAGTAGGTGCCATGTCTCGGTCTCTTTTTCCGAGACAAATCCAATCCCGCAAAGACCAAATGTCTATCTTCTTTTGTTTTTAAGTTGTAGCCGAAAAGTCAAATTTTAGCGATTTCAAAAAATGCTCATATTTCGTTTATTTTTGAAATTAGAGAAATAGGGTTAATACATTCTACAAGCACTTTTTTGAGTAGAATATACTGTCGTTGAAAAATTTTAAACATAGCTGATAATTTTTGAGATATAACATAAAGTTTTATTTTTTGAAATACAAACTATAGTTGATTATGATGTTATTGAACAGAGCATATTTTTAGCTTTCCAATGATGTATCTGCAGAAAATAAGCGTTATTTTTCAATTCTAAAATATTAAAGATTAAAATTCAAATTTTTAATTATAATAGGCGAGGAAAACGCTAAATGCTACTTATTGTTAGTTACTATAGCAACGTGAGTTTACTTGTCATTTCATTCATGAATTTTACGAAACGAGTTTCCGTTTAAGAAGTTCCGCATTATCTTTAAATAAAACGATAAAATTAAATATAAAATATATTGGAGTCCGCTTTGAAGATGATTCATAAGTCTTCATATCCCATCTTCATAAGTCTTCATTGAAACGGTGTTTCAATGGGGATATGAAAACGGTGTTTCAATGGAAAGTCCGCCCTCAGTTTATGATTCCTAATTTTCCTCTATCAATTTCTCACTCAATTTCAAAAGAAAAGATTGCTGATATCAGAAAACTTCTAAATCTTATGTTGCGTCAATCGGAATCAATTCATTGTTTCCACTGAACTGTTCTAACCTTACAACCAGTAAGTTTAGTAGAAGAAGATGACAGTTTGTGACTGTTTAGTTCCTGAAGTTGTCCATATTTAATTATTTATTAATTAATACATTTCTTGTATTTTTAATAAACAAACTTTGTCCACGACTATCTTATAACATATACCTTATGAATCAGTTTTCTAAAACAAAATGGTAGTCATTTTTCACGGAGTGAATAATAGCGGTGAATAATAATCATTATTCACGGGTAGCCATCTTGACCAGACTAATAATAATTATTTGAAACGTTAAAAGTTCAAAAAACGTCAATTTAATTCAATTTTTTAGGAGTTTCTGAAATGTTTGACATTAAAAAAACCTAAACAAATTCCTTTTTTGGTATGATTTAAGCATAAATTAATTAATTTTCGTAAAGAAAACGACGTTTTTTAAAACTGACACTTAATTTTGACAAATTGTTGTGAAGTTGGTTACAGTTAGTAACATTGAATTTGTGTCACATTGACGTTTAACCTTTATTCAAAAATTTATTTAAAAAATAAATTTATGGAATCAATTTCAATAGTCGTGGACAAAGTATAATATTCTACTCGCATATAATGAACTATTATTCACTTAGGTTAATTATGCCACTCGCTACGCTCGTGACATAAACTTAACCTTCGTGAATAATAGCCCTCATTATATACTCATATAATAATATACTATTACTTGCTAACCATTTTTTATTAGCGAACAAAGTCAGGGATAAGATGTTGAGAAATTTAAATTAACTATTCAAAGTTTTTATTCGTTGGTACAAAACCAACTTTATTCTGAATAATAGTAAAAAACCACCTTTATTCTGTCATATTCGTGCAAAACCATATGTTACAGCCACTAGGTAGTATTTATTGTCCGGACCCGCCTACTATAATCAAAATTTTGAATAATTTGGCGCTTACTATTTTGGAATTGAAAATTAACGCTTATTTTCTGCAAAAACACCATACATGCGATACATCACTGGAAAGTTAAAAGTATGCTCTTTTCAGTAACATTATAATCAAGTATACTTTGTGTTTAAAAAAACACAACATTGTGTTGTATCTCAAAAATCATCAAGTATATTTAAAATTTTTCAACGGCAGTATATTCTACTTGAAAAAGTGTCTTAAGAACGTAACAGTCCCATTTCTCTAAATTGAAAAATACCCACGAAATATGAGCATTTTTTGAAATCACGAAAGTTTAACTTTTTGGATAACTTAAAAACAAAAGAAGATAGAGGTTGTGTGTTTGCGGGATTGGAATAGTCTCGAAAAAAGAGACTGGGACATGGCACCTACTTTTTCGTATCTCTTATAGTTTCTGAGATAGCCTATAATAACACCCAAATTTGCCCACCCTGTACATATCATTAATAGAAAGGTGTTTGTATAAGTGACGAAATTTTGACTTTTGAAATGGTAAGTAATAGTATATTATTATAGGAGCATATAATGAAAATGTAACTAAAGTTAAGTTATAAGGCATAATTTTAACTATTTTTTATTTATAACTACACTCAGGTGCAAAAAAAACGCAACAAGCTTATATTTGGTAAAGTTTGAAATGTGATCACTTTTATTTTTTGTACAATTTTCATGATTTTTTAAGCAAACTGTAGATAAAAATGTCTAATTTCATATTCAATATCCAGCCTTTTGTTAAATGCTGACCATTTAGTCGGTATACAGGGTTAATTGAAACGCCGTTCTAGGATCCGAATTTTAAAACACTCTGTGGAATAATTTAGTGTATAAATTGTTTCAAAATTATAATTTTTGTTAAGAACCCTTCGTTCCCTACATTTTGTTTTTTTGGTTCATGTCTCTAAGTGCATTCGTTCATTTTTAAGAGCGAAATGAATTTGTCACTAATAATTTACTTAAGATACGTTACTTTTTACTAAGGTGGCTTTGCTCATTGTTATTCTAATAACAGTTGGACAGTGATTTTTTGTACAGAAGATTAGTACCATGGTTTTAAGTGCTGAAAATTGCGCTAAAGCTGTTGCTCTTGTTGTAGATGAGCGTAATTATGAATATGTTGCAAGAATCCTTCATGTTCATCGCTCCACTATTAAAAGAGTGGTAGAACGTTTTACACAAACTGGAAGAAATAAGAGAAGGGCAGGAAGCGTAGAAAACGAAAAACCATTGCTGTTGATGACAGATTTATACGTGTTATAGCTTTGCGGAATTTAACGTCAGTACAGACGAAAAATGAGCTTCGACAGGTCCGAGGTACAAATGTGAATGCGTGGACAATTCGCCGAAGACTTAAGGAATCTGGGTTGAAAGCTTGCAGAAAAGCAGTTGGACCCAAATTGCTTCCGCGCCACAGGATGGCTAGACTACAATTTACCACCGAACACTTACGTTGGGATTTGAGGCAATGGAACAATGTTCTCTTTACCGACAAATCCAGGTTCTGGTTAAATTCTCCAGATGGATGGAAAAGAGTGTGGAGAAGAAATGGAGAAAGGATTGCGGAATGCACTTTCAGCCCTCGTCTGAGCTATGGAGGTGGTTCAGTAATGGTGTGGGCAGGAATAAACCGGGAAGCCTGCACTGATTTGGTCATCATTGATGGATCATTAACTGCCCACCGATATATCGAGGAAATATTGGTTAATTACGTGCAACCCCTCAAAAATCGTAATGCAAGATATTGTACGGCCTCATACAGCCAGGTGTGTTACACAATACCTCAATGAAGTGGGTATTAATAAAATGAACTTGCCAGCATGTTCGCCCGATCTAAATCCCATCCAGCATGTGGGATATGCTTGGTAGGCGGGTGAGAGACAGCGAAATAGCTCCAGCTTCTGTACATGAACTGCGAATAGTTTTTCAAGAAGAATGGCAAAATATTACGCAGCAGTTCATTTATAGTGTTATCGACAGCATGAATCGACGTATGGAAACTGTGATAAGAGCTAGAGATTGTAACACAAAATATGAAGATAAATGTCTTGTAAAAAACTGGTACATAGCAACAAAAATTATATTTTGAAACAATTTATACACTAAATTATTCTACAGGGTGTTTTAAAATTAGGATTCTAGAACGACGTTTCAATTAACCCTGTATACCGACTAAATGAACAGCATTTCACAAAAGGCTGTGTTTTACTATAAGAGAAAACAAACAAAATAATGATCAATACTGTATTAAATCGTTTATTATTGGAAAGGAAATGTAAAATAATTATAAAAAGAAATGATTATATTATTTATATGTCATTTGTTAATGACGCACAGTGGTCAATTTCGTAAATTTAGGTGGACAAAATTAATATTGAAAAAAATACAGCATTTTTAGACATAATTATATTCAAAAACTCTTAAAAAATGTTTGAAAAGTTTTCATCACTATTGCACGAGAGACTAAATTCGTCATCTGCCGACTCCTCTTCTGCAGTGATAGATTCCTGCTCTTGAAATGACTTTTTAAATAATGAAATTACTTCATCGGAAATATTCTTTATTTTCTTAGGAGCGCGACTTCTGAAGTATGTAATTAGCGGATCTGACTAAACTAATAACATATTGAACAGATCCTCGATGTTGGTGATTGGACTTTTTCTAGCGTGATCTCTCCGAAACCTTCGACAATCCTTGTTGCGCGCTTCCTGTGCTTCCTCAGAAAGCTGCCCAATAGGAAGAAGAGCTGATTTTTAACAATGTCTGTTCCATGCATTAAAAGTTTATGAACACTTGCCGGCATGTAATACCAATTATATCTATATTCTTCAAATGTTTCCAAATTTATTTTATATCCATTCCCAATTGTTTTTGACACTTTCGCGGACGCTATGATTTCGATAGTTCACCCATAATCACACCAATT